TGTAGGTTTTTGATACATAAACTTTCCATTTGTTCAAATTAGAGATCGGATACAAGGGCCTGGCCTAAATCCGTAGTAGATTGAAAGCCCCAGTCAAAGCAACAGATTCCTGTATAAATCAGAGATTCAATGCTTAAAGTCTCCTTACTAACTTAAAAAGCTCAACATACCAGCGCTGCTGAGATTTACAGCATTTATTGAACAAACACCGCCATATTTCTCCTACTGGAATCCCATTCTTCGCGGGACTCGACTTATTTGCCTAAACAAAATTGAATTGAATACCACATACAGTGAGACACTCAAAAATAATTTCTAATCATCATTTACAGAAATTCCGGAAAAATAAAATCACGTTGGCTGTTTTCTACTGACTTTCCATTCCATAGCAACTCCACTAGCTACGTTTGGCTTACAGGCTTGAAGAACTTTAGATAAGTTTACTTTTCAGTTGTTGACAGGGGTGGCGCTAGAAACCAAACCACGAATCGATGTACCGATAATCTTAGAAAAATTCAAGTGCCGATGACTATAAAGATGGTTGCCGACGACCATAAAAATGGTCGCTGACATATTTCATGAACTCCTCTTTACAGTTTCTTTAAATCCTAAAATGTTTTGAAAATTAATGAAAAATTGTCAATCAAATCGTGTATACATTGTTTAAACTAACAATTTCGTTACAGCTTTTCAAATTACCAAAATTTGATATGCAAATTTTTTGATGTGCCTAGCTCATGTTTTGCCGGTGAGTGCAGTTATTTACTGAAAAATCAGGCTTTCTTCTTAGGGCACAATTTACAATTTCGATAGAAAGTGCCCAATTAAGTTTTCTAGCCGATTTTGGTCACAAAACTTCAGGGTGTCTTGCTATTTTTACTCCTTTGAAATTGACAAGAACTTCTTAGCAAACCTTGCTATAATTCTTTGGTTCCTATAAGAGAACCTTTTGACCTGCTTGTTCTCTACTTTTTCTCCGGTAAACTGCTTTTTTACATGAGTTGAAAATCATTTGAGTAGTAGACTTCGTGTAGCCCACTTGCTATGCAATTTCATCACACTAATGAGCTGCCTGGCGTAAAAACTCTATGACCATTTGCTTAGCTTTATCCATATTTTGCGCTTTTACCAGTGCCCAAAGATAAACATTTTTGGCACTTCTGAGAAAAATTTTTCCAGTAAACTTTCTCCAAACAAAATTTTTGCCTGATTATATATATTCATTCTGCTTATTTCCTGAGGCCATCGTTTTATTTTCCCACCAAAATTTGATCTTACTTTTTCACTAACATGACGATCGTAAACGAAAACAACTGAAACATTCATTTTGTATACAATATAATGAAAGCGCTATGCCCCCCCCCCTTACATTTTTCTCGGCTCTACACTACCGGATGTTGTGTACAAGAAATAGCCTTCTGGCTCACTATCGCTAAAGCACTCATGATAACACAGGGTTTCTTGCCACTCAGATCAAGCAAAAAGGAGATACAACAAGAAAGTTACATTTGGACATTATAAAATTTACTCAAAAATTTAAATACAGAAGTTGCAACTGGTTAAATTTAAAAAAAATAGCTCGTTATACTTGTAACGAATTCTGCATTAACGCTATGATACAAAGTCTTATTATACGTTCGATTTACAAAGCGAATAACATTTTGTGATCCCTACAAACTGTAGCAAATAATTTTATTAATATTTAGATGTAAAAAGACAATTCTCTCCTTTGATATAGAAAAAAATGTCTCAACATTTTAACACTAATATCCGTCGAAGTCACTAAATGATACTTATTTTCAGTTCAACAGTTATATTAAATCTGTCGGCGAAAATACACTGCTGCAGGCTAAAATTTGTTGACAAAATAGAATTACATATAAAGTTGGATATATTTGATTTGATTAAATATAAAATGTTTTAAGGCTGATAACGCAAGACATTGTGACTAAATTCATAATTTTCTGCAACGAAAGATTATTTAAAGGAAAGTTTTAAAAAGCAGTGAAACTTCTGAGGAACTACCACAATAATGCTAGATAAAAGAGCAGAACAAGTCACCCTATCAGGAAAAAACAAGGACTTCTTTTATTTGTTAAGTTTCTTGCAATTTTGGCCAAAGCTTACTGAGCTCTGGCCATGTGGTGTTTAGGTACACAATGTCCTTGACAGTTATCTGTCAGCTTTTAAACTTTTCTAATACCACTGGCACATATAAACCCTATGTACTTTGTTCATTCACAGAAATGATCGCTAAAACCTAACCTTAAATCGATTTAAAAATTGGATGGACGAGCAAAAACAGCGATAAGAAAATGTGGGAAAAATTCCCGTTGGACAACGTTACAACAATAGTGTTCATTAATGACGCCTACAGGGGGATAAGCCTGCTTACATAAACTGGAATGATAAACAGAAGAACGGTATATAATATGCCACATACAATTTTGTCATGCAGCAAGACAAGGCTTTCCCAGTTGCAGAACAATACCAACTAACCTTGTATGAACCATTTCACTTTCAAAACTCTGCATCAATACACCATATAAACTTTAAAAAAGCCCGGGGCGTTATTTAGACTTTCAATGCTTATGTGGGAGCATTCATTCGGAGGGAGGTTTGACATGAAGCGGTGGAGCTAGATACGAGGCGGTGGAGTTAGACACGAGGCGGTGGAGTTAGACACGAGGCGGTGGAGTTAGACAGAGGCTTCGGTACTATTAACAATCGACTGAAAGAACTGAAATAGGTCAGTGAAGGTCGGCCTTTCTGATGGCGATCTTTCCCAGCATCTTTGCATCATTTCATATACGTTGCTTGGGCAGCCATCAGGTTTAGGCAGGTATCGGAAACTTCTGCGTTGCTTAGCAACCACAGAGCAGGCGTTTTCAATGACCTGCTGGTCGCTAAGATGACTGTATGGCGTTTCCCTTGCAAACGTAAACATCTCCCAAACTGTGACAGCGAAGGACCAGATATCAGACTGGCTTGTGAAAGTCCCTAAAAAAGACAGAATTACAATATGAACTACCTTTGGACATTGTCACAAGCAAAGACTCAGTTGTTACTACGTGAACTTTTCTGATGCTTTTTATATATGTAGCTTAAATTTCAAAAGTCTCATGAAATCATCAAACATGCTAATCCAACTTAAACTAAGCTCGAATAAGAAAAATTCTAAAAAACTCAACTTTACAATGAACATTCGACCCCCTGTTTCAAAAGAGGGAGCAATCAGCTACAAATGTAAAATAAAGAGCCCAAGATATCAAAGTACTCCAAAATTCCTACAAAAATAAATTTGAAAAAATCAAGGTAATACTACACAGTTTAGCCTCATGGTACTGAAAGCTACTTCGTGTTCAACGCACTGCTGTTTTCTTGATTCTCCTTAAAGGCAATCTGTCACAACGTTGATTGATTATAAGAACAAAGGGATTTTTTATTGTTTCCAGTCCCCCTTTAATTTATCGCATTGTAAAAAATATGGCGGAGCGCTGGAATCGTGTTTAGGCTATTGTTCTCGTTAACCAATCCACAACGAGACAGATTGGCTTTAAATGTCCCATCAGTCAACAGTTCAGCGTTAACAATAGGGTTTCCATTCCGTTTATGATCGAGAGAACAATGGGAATTAGCCTTACGTTGCCGATTGGATACGTAACATAACAATAGGTCTATTGTGAAGTTTAACCAATGGGAAATTTAAATGGCCAGCAAATGCGTTGGGACATTTTGAGAAAGATCATTAAAGCGACCACATAGCAACTAACATGAACATACTAAATCTAAGAATAGATGGAGACTGAATACCGTATTTATTCGATTATAAGCCACCCTTGTTTATAAGCGGCCCTCGGTTATAAGCCCCAGCAGATTGGGTTCATAAAAATGTAAGCCGCCCTTGATTATAAGCCGCACCCACAAAACCATGCAGAGATACTTGGTTTGAAAAGACGGATGCAAAAACTGATAAAATCCTGACTGTGCACTTAAACAACAAAAAAGACATAAGAATTTCAACCAACAACAATATCGTCCAGCATGGGATCATCAATAGGTCCAATAGTAATTCTTCGTCATCTTCTTCATTATCACCTCCGCTTCAAAGGTAGCAGGAAAGCCGGCAGGATGTTATCCATCCTCGTTTATAAGCTTTATAAGCCGCCCTCGTTTATAAGCCGCCCTCGTTTATAAGCCGCCCTCGTTTATGAGACGCCCTCGTTTATTAGCAAACCTAGTTTACAAGCCGACCTCGTTTACAAGCCGACCTCGTCAATAAGCCGATCGTGATTGTAAACCGCAGCAAAACGTACCAAAAAATATTTATAAGCCACGGCTTAAAATCCAATAAATACTGTAGAGCTATTTCAGTATGCAAAATTCCTAATAAAGACCAGAGCGACCGAATTTCATGCAATACGTACCGTAAAAAAGACTTTCTGGAGCCATCCATCGGATGGGAAGAACAGCTTTGCCTTCGATTCTGTAGTACTGCTTTGAATAAAGATACCTTGACATACCAAAATCTGAAACCTTTACAGTGAAGGAGTGACCGACAAGACAGTTTCTTGTCGCCAGATCACGATGAATGAAACCTTGAGAGGACAAATAATGCATACCACTGGCAATTTGCATACACATATACAACAAGGTTTCTTCGTTAAGAATATTTGACGGAATGTCGTCCAGTCCTGAGGCTTCATTGGAAAAGCTGTAGTTATGCAAGAACTGATTTAAGTCTCCGTTCTCCATATATTCCACAACCATGCATTTGGGTTCCTCTTCGCAAATTCCCAGCAGCTGTACAACATTATCGTGCTGCAGCCGTGCCATTACTCGTACTTCCTTCATGAACTCCTTTTCAATGTTCTTATCGACGCCTGCTTTTAATAACTTGACAGCTACCTTTATCGTACCGGACATGACCCAGCTACAATGGCCTACTTGCGAACCAACAATGTTTCCAAGTGATTCCACTTCACAAATGTGAACCTGAGTGTAAACAAGCAACGTTTTAGTGGATATAAAAATTAACTTGTCTACTGAAGCGGGCTCGATTCCCTCTAGACAAGAGCTGTTTCGGTTGCACAGTGTTTCGGATTGAGAGTGGATATCCCGTTTCTCACATCAATACCTAAGCATAATATACAGTATACTTGTCGGTTCAAAGTTGCAGTCCGGGTTTAACGCTTAATATGACCTTGAGACACTGGAAATTCCATTCAATGTTGCTTACCGTTAAATGTTTTCTAAGCTTTAGCACTGTGCAAAAAACAGAAATAGAAAATTCTATAAACGAAAATAAATACCTTCGATCATTTGATGCGCAGTTAAGGTTACGGTAAACGTTTTGAACACGAAAATTGGTTTTTCCTTCCTAAAGGCCAAACGGCTCAAGGAATCTGGATAAACTATATATCATTCGATGCACAAGATTATGGCGTATCTAGCCAGATAAAAATTATTGGCAAATAATGTTAAATGTTATTTTCCATGCGAATTTACTGGTCAAAATATGTACCACTTCAAAAGCTATTATGTACCCTTGCGTTTGAGGTAACAAAATCTGACTTAGACCAGCAGGAAGTGCAGGTCCTAAGCTACCAAAGTGTGTCTCAGATTTTTTAAATTCCTCCTCTTCTTGAAACTATACCCTGTCAAAAATTGGCAAATAATTTTTCCACCCTCCCGCAGCTGTATTTGAGTATAAAAGACGGACCAGAGAAAATAAAAAAATTTTGAGACACACTTCGTTTGCCCAACGTCTGCCCTGGCCGTGTGCAAATTTTCGAGCCATTCGATTGGTTCCTTGGGTACATAATAGCTTTTTCGTACCTTCATGTAGAGGAATTTCGAGTCCGGAGAAAACGGGATTTTACTGATCGCACTTGCAAGATACACTCGTAAGCCACAGTGTAATCCGGGTCAAGTCACTTGAAGATTTAAGATCAATAAGCCTGTTTAAATAAACACGGCCGTACATTGGATATATGGATGTGCCATGCGATATTGTAAATGAGACATGCGACTACAACCGCAAAGCAACGATAATCGGCTTAACAGGTCAAGAAATTTTCAGGCCTCAACTAAAAGTTTTGATAAAGAAATTATAGAAACCTTCGCTTACATGGGATTTTTTCCACTTTCAAAATTTCTGTTTGTTTCAAATTTGGTATCATTGTGTGCCTTGAAAGTTCGGCTACTTGAATGTGAACAAATCGAAAAAATGATGTTTTCATCCAGAAAACGTTTACCGTAACCTTAAGACCAAAACATGGATTAAAGGCAATAAAAAAACGTCAAGTGACCACATTATGTTTGTTATGTTTAAGGTTGATAACAAATCACAATGCAAACACAACATAATATTACAGCTGCTGACCTCGCCAAACTGACCGGTACCAATTTTTTCTAAGAATCTCAATCGATCGCGTGGGAACTTCCGGATTTCGATACTTTTTCTTTGCGGTTCCACGTCTGGATCAGCATACAAGCTAGATCCAGTCACGGTCTGGTAAGGGTCTTCATAGATTCGGGTTCCTTCGTAGATAGGGTTCATCTCCACGTTTTTTTTGTCATGTGGTGAGTCCGGTTCGGCATAGCTCTCTGCTTCCTTTTCCTGATCAACAAAAATCTCTGCGTAACCAACACCACCTTGGTCTGGGGCGGCATAAATGTTACTCGAATCATTAATCTCTTCAACTGTTACGTTGGGCTCCATCAATTTGCTCTTTTCGCTTCCTTTAAGATGAGAAATTTCTTTCAAAAGATACAAATCTACTGAATACCAAATCAAATAATTACCACAAACAGGCGATCTCCCGTTAAAAGAAAATGCAATGTTTAATCATTACATGAAAATAAGTCGATTTTGCTTCACGCTATAAGAACAGAAATGATAAATATTTTTTCATTTTTAATTAAATGATAATTATTGATTTTACATTTTTTTCAAAAAACGTTATCAGAGATCACGTTTCAATCACACCAGGTTGCAAATCACAAAGTCAAATTAAATACGTGATGTCTGCAGAAGGGAAGATGACTTTAAGTGATATCAAGGTAGGCTTTTCAAAGTAGACGTCTGGCTTTACTATGTAGATAAGCCTTACACGTATGACATTCATTAATGAACCATACTAAAGACAAACAAAGGTGACACTAAGAGTGGATATCAAGAGCGTATTTGAGCAGCTCTATGAAATCTAAAAATGATGAATCGGAAAGCCCCTCAAAGATGACATCAAGGGATAAAATCTAAAAAAACGTGTTAGAAAACCATTGCATAGATGACATCTAGAAATGTGACAAAGTGTAGATACCTATACATGCCGTCAAGAAGAAATAACATCTTGAGAAAGCGTATTTAAACAACGTAACAGGGATGACATCTACAAGTGACTAACAAGAAAGACCAAGACACTTGAAGACATAGACAAGAACTTTATTCTCTGTATTTTATATAAGCTATTTGCTTTATTGTAACTAGTTTCATTTCTTGTAACTTTATTCTTGTAAGATTTTTTAACAGGTCGGTTTGAAAACGAGATGTTATTCTGAGACTTGTTCGACCTATATAAATATTTAGGAAATAAATGAATTAATCAAAGGAAGACGTCAAGATAGAAAATTTAGAGATGGCTATTAGATGTGTTGTCATGGTCATCGATAAAACTCCGATTTTGGGATAGTTGGAGGGTCATGGTATCCAACCTTCTGATAGAAGATGGAACCTGATGATGATATAAGATATGATCTAGAGACGACTTTGCTTGAGAAGATGGTATAACAAATGCATTACCTTTCCCTTCTACAACCGCATACATGTGATCCGCCTCAATGTTTGGAGACGTGAAGGATTCATCGTAAATTGGGTTTTTCGTTAAACTTTGCAGCAGTAAGTCGTTTTCGATATTATTGCCGTTGATGCCTTTAGCGGTATTTCTATTCTTACGGTTTTTCCTTCCACCAACCTTTTGCCGTATCTTCTTTCTGTATACGTACGCCAAACACAACAAAAATGCGAGCAAAGTGACAACAGCCACGCTTACCACGATAAAAATTAACTTTCGTGAATTGGAATCTCCATTTTTTAACTGTTCTGTAATAGCAAAAGTAGACAAATGGTGTTACATCATTTCACTACATAAAACTGTGGCAACTGTTTACTTATTGGGATTTCTTTATTTAGAGACATGATTGCCATTCCAAAATCTGTTTTGTGTTAATGAGTATGTAATTTGCACTTTGCCTCCCCCTTCTGCAATATTAATATTACCTCGGACTTCCTGATTACGCCGGTGTAATATGCGTTTTGATACCCTATGCAAAAGTGTAACATTGTGAAACGCAATGTGTTTCAAATCGTGTGATTTCATCATTGAGCGATGTTTGACACATTTGTAAGAGTTCAATATTTTACACTTGTCAATCACGCAAACTTTAGAGTCGCCATTAATGTTGTACCTTTTTTGCATAAACTTAACAGCGAAAATCATAGCACCGCTTCTTATTAGTACCCCCTTCTATAAAAATAGTTCAATTGTTCTTTACATTCTGAACAATATGAACCAGAACATTTGTGTACCCGGACCAGTTCGCATGCTTAATTCCACTATTCGTTTTGGTACCCTATTGTTTAAGTGCTTGGGTACGTTTTTGCATAACCAAAATTGTCCTGCATTTGTGTACCCGGACCAAAATGCATAAGGTAACAGAAACGCATATAACACCGGCACAATAGATATATGGCAGAAGCAGACTGTCGAGTTTACTTTTAAGTGCAAATTCAAGCTAGTATGGTTGTTAGATCTTTGTTAGTTCATTCAAGTTTGATTAGCTCAGCAATAACTTCAGCTCACATTAATGAATCATCAATTCTTTTTGAGAAATTTGTAGCGTCATGGATGAGTGCTTTGTCAAAAAGAAAGTGTTCAAACAGAGGTTGATTAGATCATTTCCTACCTTCAAATATGGCCACTTTACATGATATTTCGGAGAGCCTGAGTAAAATTTCTCCCGTAGTTTTTTCTAAAAGAAATTAACAATGATAACGGAATTTCGTGCAAAAGACAAATGGATATAAGATAATTCTTAGCATACGAAAATGATATATTGTGTTCTACCCCTTCATGGCCAGCGATCCTGTCTGAGAGGGTCATTTTCGTTACTAGAAAGATGATAATGCAAAATGGGGAATTCAAAATCTAAGGCAGGGTAGTTTGTCTGGTTGTGGTTATCAAAACATGCAGGCAGCAGCAAGTAAAGATACAAAGAAAAGGGTATAAGCGAAAACATGAAAGCAATTTTGCATAATATTTAATCATATTGCACCCAGATCTTATAAGCATGTTCACCGTTGTGGAATGAAATTAAATCATTGGGAATAAATACAAAATCATATCACTAAGACGGCCTGTGAGGCGAGCAAGAAAATTCTCAAAATAAACAGCGAAATCCTTAAAATTCACAAAATATTACCAGCATTAATAATGACTTCACTGAAGACTAAATATTCATCCGAATAATTGAACTGTATCTTTATCCGCGTTGCCATTCTCCCTTTGAAGTGGATGTTGAAGAAAACGGATCCATCAGATTCCTGTCGCTCTGGACAAGCGTAAAACTGCTTTGACCATGAGCCTGATGCCTCGATACCAAACTGAACCTGGGAGGCTATAAAAGACCCAAGTGTCTCACGTCTATCAACATAGCTAAAGAGGCCTAAAGACCTCAGACTTGCTGGCCTTTCCAAGTTCAGTATTATATAAGGCCTAGGCAGTTCACTTCTTTTCCATCCGACCCAGTATTCGGGGTGTTTAATAGGTGATTTCAACGACGGCTTTCCATCAACAAGAGATCCCTTCCCGTCATGCAATGTACCTCTACTTGCTTTGCCGACGTAGGATAAATCTCTAAATCGATTACCTTGTCTGATTTCATAAGACTGAATTTCAGCTACAATAGAAGACAATATTCAAAATCATTTTGGTCTAGTTTTTGGTATATCAATTTTGGTAATGTTTTGTAAGCTGCAATACATGTAAGATTGAAAAAGTTCCCTACATAATAATGTCCTGACATAAACAAGCCCACGCCTTTGTAAAACGCTCATGGGGGGCTAGAAGCGTAACCTAATTTCTTATATGATGTAAATTCATAATCCTGGCATAAAGAATGCTGAAAACGTATAAAAACGTAAAAGCTTCCATCATTATTATTATCTGACATACTTCTCAAAACCAAAGGAAACTGTCATAGCCTTTGAAAAAATCTCAACTGCAATGCTAGCAGAAAGTCAGAGAAATATGCCACCCTCATATCTGACTTAAAACTTCGGTTTAAGTCAATTTCTTTCCATCAATTCACTTGGTATCTTTGGTAACTCCTGCAGCTCTTTCGTCAATATGCGAGATTCCCTTTCTATTGACGATCAACAGAAACACGATCTCATCTCCAAACTTTTAAGCATCTCCATTCGTACCACATAATATACATTCTGCTGTAGGGAACAAAACTTGGACTAGCTCAGAACTAATTTCTTTTTAATATTTATGAGTTTTGAATTTAACTTATTATTTCTTTCCTTTATTTTCTAGATCTTTTTTTATTACTACAATTCTAATTGTTTTATTTTGTGAAAACAGGCTAGCCTATGAAATAGAGACATAAAGTTTCCATTTTTGTTATAATTACTATAAATAGGGCTTCGTTGGTGACGGAAATCATTTTGGTCTAGTTTTTGGTATATCAATTTTAGTATATCAATTTTGGTAAAGTTTTGGTAAGATGCAATAAGTTTTGCAAAGTCTGGAAATAGACCTCATCATTGAATACGCCCCTAGATAAGCCCACGCCTTCGTAAAACCCTCATGGGGGCTAGAAGCTTAACCCAATTTCGTATACCACGTAAAATCAAAAACCTTGCATTAAGAATGCTAAAAACGCATTCGGATTTAAAAAAGGCTTCTACAAAACGCATGAATGAATCACGATAAACCATTGTAAGAGGTGTATATTGTATATTGGCTTAATTTTGTTCGCAAGATTCAGAAGTATGATGTTGCAAATTCCACGCACTTAATGTCCTGACAAAAGGATACTTACATTGCTTTCTCAAAAGTAGATGGAGAAAATTTTGCAAAAGTAGATGGAGAAAAAAGTAGATGCGCCTAATTAATATGCTTCCCAACAGCAAACATGCCATACAATACCTTCAGGTGACATTGTGCTACCAACAGGCGTAGTTCTTGAAAGTGTAGTTGAAACACTGGGCAACGGCGTGTTTCCTTTTCCAAATATACTTTGATCTGTAAATAAAACAATAAAGCAAGTCATAGTCTCAAACAGCTGCTCAGAAAAACTTCAAAGATTTATACTAATCAAAATGCCATCTCATATGTATGCCAATACTCAACAAAAACTTTCTTTTAACATCATTTCTTAGTAAGGTAGCTTACCCATACCATTTATAAGCAACGTCCATCAAAAATGGGCCTAACCGGTTACTGTGACAATCACGACAAAGCATTTAATGGTTTTATGGGTTCAATGTCCATTCTGGCGTGTGACATATTCGATATTTTTCTCCACAACGTGATAGATTGTGACTTCATTGCATTCATTCATTTCATGTTAAAAATTTAAGTTTACTTTAAACGATACTCTAACTTTAAACTTTGTGCTAACAAAGAAACTAACAAAGAAACTTAGTAGGCTGAGTCATTCGGGACAAAGCAAGCTAATGTCGCATATGACTACTTAATACTTTCTCCTCAAGCTTCTATTGTCCTCTGAACATTTTCATTGGCAAATGACAATATGAAAAAGAATCTGAATGGCTAAAGACTTTTTCTTCCATGATGATAACAAACTAACTCTTACTCTTCTTCAACCTATAGTACCTTAAAAATTAAAAAGTAAGAACAATGGGTAATTTCAAAGACTGAAAAAGGGTCTGTGGTTTAAACAGACCTCTTATAAAAAAATTGTAAACCAAAACTCACTTCACCTTGATAGCAAAAAAAATTCCATTTGAAAAGACACATTACATTGAACTTGACAGATCCACCATAAAGACATACATAATTTGTCAAATAAAGCACACACCATTTAAGTACTTTATCGTTTAAAAAACATAATTTCAAAACCTGAAAGTTTGCATCCATAGATTTCCATCTTTAAATAGCGATGTTTACTGTCTTTTGAAATGTTTGGGAAAATCTTGATAACTCTTGCCGCGAATATCGGTTCGATTTTGAATACGTCGCCCAACGTCTTTGTGGTATTAAACTGATACTGGAAAGGAAAGAGCATTACACGAACTGAATAATTTTTTTACCAAGAGTTCCTTGAGATGAGTGAAAATCATTTGCAGATGTTAATGGGAGGGTGCGGTAATAGGGTAATTTCCCCGTCTTTTGATCATCTTAAAGTTCAGATGACCGATATTCTTTGAGAAGAAAGTAAAACAATGCATGCTCTAGGTACAATTGTTTATGTAGTATCCATTTTTGGCAATAAGAATGAAGAAAGAAAATGGGTATGTGAACATCACGATGACACATGTTTAGCAAGAACTAGGTAAACAGAAGGAAAATATATAACAAAAGTGAGCAGTATGAGTAGTGATTGTCTCTATTATCATATTGTCATGAATTATTCAGTATACCTTTAATTAGAATGGCACACACCACTAACACTGGCAGTACTCTATTCACAAGCCTACTTTTTTAAAATTGCTTTGTTCCAGCTCCAATTGAAGCATAAGATTTGAATCCAAGCTTGCATTATTGAAAAACAAACAGTGATAAGAGATAACAAAGGGTAAAGAGGCCCCTGCGCCTCGAAAGTGACTTTTATGTGAGTCCTCAAATCCAGTTACTGATACACACATAACAACTTTGAATTTTAAGCATTAATCAATACTGCGAAGATTTTTATTTTTCTAGAGACTTTTAAATGAAAACCAAATTATTGAACGATGCTATGATCAACATACCGGTTGCGTATATCTTGCCGTGTACGGATAAAAGCTGGCATTCGAGAGTTTGTAGTGGATAGAGAAGGCGATCGGCTGATCAAGCATATTGTCTGCATAGAGAGGGGGGAAAGTACGCACTCCAGAAACTAAGTAGAGATCTTTCAGTTCAATTTCGACATATTCTTTTGAAAAGCCACCAAACTGTGGTCCCCATGGAAACGGGCCAGCGTTCATGTTTATGTAATTCGGTGCAAACGGTACCTTTGATGACGATGCTGTGTAGCCCATTTTATTGTTCAATAAAGGTCTGAAACAACCTATTCACAAAAAAGACCGATATGCATTATCAATATGATATGTGAAACGGAGATATGGAGCACAAGTCACAAAACAAAACAAAGTGGTTCAACTGTAATATGCTGACAAATTTGATAAAACCTCTGAGATTACATTTCCCAACAAATATCGCTGAATTTTGATGAACACATTTTTCCATTAAGTTGTTTCAACTGTATTAAAACAAAGAATTCAAATACATATGCTACCTTTCGCTACTCGCTGGTATCCTTAAACCCTGCTTCATGTTATCCCTTTCCCAAATTACCACTGACAAACTTTTATATTCAGATAAGAGATGAAAATAAGATACAGCGACTGGAGTCGAGAACGTTATGTTAGGTCAAGCGTTGCGGGAAGCAATTTAAATGCAACCACATTCAAATAAGAACTCTTCGTCTGAAATTGAAAATTTTTAGCTTCCGGGATACCAAAAAAAATCAATGTGGACAAAGCGTCAAGATAAGGGGAAACAAACTGCAAAACAAAGAATACTGCTAAATTAAAAAGTGCCTCTGTGGAAAAGGGGTACGAGGCTGCAATAACTTGTTTTTGATGACTTAAGTATATTGTTTTTGTGGCGCCCAATTATTTTCGTTGAAATTACTTTACAGCTAAAGACACCAAACCCTGCTTTTGGATTATCATCTTTCCTTATCAGCACTCTCGATGCAAAATAAAAACTACCATTTGTGTAGACAAAAGTCCAAACATGAAAGAAATGCAAGTTGGCGTGGCAAATAACATCAACCTTTATAACACTACTGATTAGGAGAAGTTGAAGCCACACATGAATCATTTTTGATGAAATTAAATTTTTCAGTATGATTGGTAAACTTACCTGATTTTTCCAATTGACAACCATAAAACTCCAGCTGAACACACTTGGGATTCTGGTCATTTTCGGGCATGTACTTCAAGTAGCGGCCATGAATAGGTGGCTGTACGGCTATAAACCTTGTATCCGGGTATTTCAGGTTAAAAACCTGAATTTTCTAAATGTAATAATATAAATCAAGCTTACTTACGAATCATATGCCATAAACCTTTTAGAACAGTAAGAAAAGCCAAGCCTAATCATCATACATCTACCAAATACTGTTGTCTTCCTTCTAAAAAGAAAATTCCGACAAGGGCGACAGCCAGAGTGGATGGAGAGCTAATACTTTAACAAATATGGGAGGCATGATTGGCACTTTGATTAGGGTAAATCAGCCCATTTTGTTGGAGGATGGGCTTCGATCTGCGCACGATCAATTTAAACGTATTACTTAATTTCGACACTGGATGTTCTATAGAGCATTATTGATAGGCTGTTACGGTTAAACTGTTGATCAAACTGCTCGATTTCTAACGATCGCATTTCTATATATATATCATGTTCCGTTTTCAATTATACCAAGCATTAGCCACATTTAGTTTCCCTTGAGTGTCTGGGGGTCCGACGACTTATCTTCCATTATGAAAAAGGGATTTCAAGATCTAGCCATCAAAGTATTCACTAGACTTCCGTTCACTATTCAACACGAAAACATTGACACACATTTTGCAACAGTTATGAAAAAAAACTGATTATGCAAGCAACGAACGACTACCATGTATATATGAATTCAGGTGTATGCACGGTTTGCAAAGAGCATAAAGAACAATGTAGATTTTACTATGCTGAATTTTTACACCAACCAAGCAGTAATAAAACTATTGATCAATCTTCATGTATGCCAAGTAAAATTTGCCCCAATCGGCGAAGAATTTAACTGAACATGTAGCAAGTTGTATAATATTGTTAAATTTGGAATTCTAAAACAATGAAGGTTGCAAAGAGCTGATTACTTTAAGGAGAGAACTTACTTATAAATTTATTTTTTAAGATAAGAAATAATACCACTTTGATTATAACATACCTTGTTTAAGATGTATTTATCATACTTGTTCATCTTATAAAAGAGTTGGATAAAATTTCCAGTTGTGTATACTTTGACTTTGCCAGATCCTCCTGTTAATGAGAAACCAGTAATTTTGGTTATATTCCGCAAATTTACTTCAAGGTAAACATTTTCCTTAAACACTGGTTTTGACGAACTTATGTCAGCTAAATTACACCACCCTGTCCCATTCTTGAGCCTTGCATCTTTTCCAGTTTGTCCACCTCCATCTCCCATTGTTTTAATCTGACTGTCTGTAATCCTTCGATCACTCATTCCTAGAGAATGGTTGCAGTCTAAAACAGAATTTCATATTGTTAAAGCAAGAGCAACGCATTTATTTGAGATTTTCAAATAGCTCATGATATTGTTTTTAAAAGAATTTGAGTTCTGCAATAAAAGCACAAATGGAATACTCAGGGAAAGATTTAGACAACTGAATGAAATTTCTGACAATCAGATATCTCTGCTAGCTAGCTTATCTAGTCATTCATAAAACCTAATAAAGAACAAAATTCAGGTCTAGTCAAAGAACTAATGGAATTTGTGGACAGAGAGAGTTGGGATATGGCACAAAATTGCTGCAATTTAGCTTGTCTTGTAATACATCCTGATTATAAAAGTTAAGGCTCAGGTAATGGTAAAGAGATGCTCGTATTTCATTTAAACTTGTTATTCCAAGTAATGAACCACAACCAATAAAACTTAACTAAAGGTGTGAAAGTCCATTTGTTTCAAGTGTTTCAGCATCAGGTATAAAAAGGGTTATCTTTTCTTCAAACATGCAATCTGCTTGTCTGAAAAATTTTCTGTAGAAGTAGTTTGGTAATGTTTTATTTCATGGCTTCTTTTTGGTATTTCTTTAGATTGTCTCATAGCAACCTTCTGTTACAAAACAAGTCTAGCTTATCAAAATTTGCAAGTTATCTAGGGCTTGCAAATAGTGAATGGCGTAATAATTTAATGGTATTTTTCTATTAATCAAGGTTTAATGAAAAAATATTACCATGCAATCACATATTTCAATTCTACAAGGCCTACTAAAATACTTAGGGTGCAGATAAAAAGACACCTAAAAAAACAACAAAGATTAAATTTTTAAGCAATAGAAATACTCACAATTTGAAGCTACTTGATCCAATCTCGTAAAAAGGCAAACAGCCAGAATAGAACCAAAGAAAAACATCTCTGACACATGAATTTCTGAAAAAATAAAGATTCAAGTTTTAAAATTTTCTTAACAAACTGCTATATTTAAAATACTTTAACTTGCATGTGGCACAAAAAGATGAAGTGAGCATTATCTTGTGTACCTCCTTCCTTTCCTTAAAAGTTGTTCATCTTTGACATGTCAAATTTTGCTAAATGACAGTTCTGTCAGAAATTCATTTGCAGTCATTTAATTTGTCTTTCTCTATAATTCGGCAAGTAACGACATCATACAGATGCTTGGCACACTTGAGCATAGAAACCATTCCATAAAGTGTGCATGCACATATAGTGTCTGTGGCTCTTAGTTTACAAGAGCCACAGACACAGCTTACAGGAAATGGAAGAAAATGGTCAATATTCATAGCCTTTTATATCTCATTGTGAAGCAGTGGTCAAGGAACTTTGAGGTTTTATCAACAAATGTGGTTTTCCTTCAGTAATGATGCTGGGTTTTTTGACTGGCACTTTGCCAGGGAAAAACCAATAAGAACTTTCTTAACAACCAAAAGAGCAGTAGCGTATCAAGGGGGCAAGGGGGGTGGCCGTCTCCCCAATGCTCAGAAGGTTAATGTCTGAAAAAAATCCAAAACTGCAATAAAACTATTACCTCAGGGGGTAGGGGCGTGGTGGGAATTATCATGGGCCGGAAAAATCAAGTTTTTAGGGCACACCATTGTGATGCTGATTGTTTCTTGTTGTCATCACTTATTATATGTTGGAAATGAGCATCATGGAGGCAGCGTGGGGTCTTACTTCACTTGTTTTTCTCACAAATCTGATGTTACGAATAATAAAAACCTTAAAAGGAAGAAAATTCTAAGGGGCCTGCATGAAAAGATTAAAGGAGACTATCGGGAATTTTCCTGAGTCCCGGTGGGCCACCAGGCCTCTGTCAGGGAGGATTGATATATTTGAAAAATTCAAAACGTTTTTAAGGACTACAACCCAACGTCTGTAGGTCGCACAAAATTTTCTGTTTGATTTGCCGGCAGGAGGACCCTTTCTATACCTCTACATAATGTTTTACAATTTCCACTCAATTTGGGGTTTATATGGAAAGTTTTTCACATCTTTTGGCATTCCCGATAAAATAGAAAAAAGGTTAAGTGTTTCAATCCTTAAAAAACTGGATTTTGAAATGGTTGTAGAGGATTTTGCAGATTTTGCTCCTGAGAGAATGGACTTAGTTTGAAACTTTTGGATACTGTATATTATATTCAGATATTTGCTTACAACTTTGGAAAATCAGTTTTTACACATAGAGCTAGACACAATTCAGAATATAAATGTGATAAGAATAATTAAGGAAAAAGAAAGCTACATATGATGGTTATTGTGGTTGATTAGCCAACCATTGCCACAAAAATGCCATAGCTTTTCCAAACACATTAACGAAATGGGGCGTTTTCCAAAATTCTTAAGGGTGTGCTCAGCAAAAAACCTTCCTGGGTGTGAACCTCTGCACCCCTTGCTATTGACTCCTTTTTGCCCCTCCAATCTTCCAACCCTGGCTATGACACTGCAAATAATGTGAAGATTAGATAATTTAAGGAATAATCTAATTGCTTGTAGCAACAAAAAAATTGTTGAAGTATAAAACGATATTCAATCTCCAAAAGCAGCAACCAATCAATGATATTCAATCTCCAGAATAGTAACCAATCAAGGGATCATTTCTTGAACCTCAGGACAGTGTATGTTTGGGAAAGAATTGGGGAAGTTGAGGCCGTCATTATGAGGAGGTGACATCTCCTTGGAAAAAACTGGCATTCCCTGCTTCACAAACAAAGAGTTTTTGCCAATAAGGCATGCCTTGACAGCTAATTTTAAACCTGTCTGGTAAAAAGTGATTGCAACCTTTCAGCAAAATAGTTAGCTACAGCCGTTGGAAAATAGTGCTTGGACAAATATATCTCAGGCCATCCATGGAAAGGTATGCCATTGCATGAACACACCTTGGCACCTGTCTAGTTGTGGACGCCTTATCAAGGCCATGAGTTACCTTTACAGGAAACATTCTTAGACCCTGTTTAAACTATAACTTTTTAACTTCATTTTGCATTTATTTTGCCTCTGTTTTATCGTCTTTGTGCAGCAAAACTTTTATCTAACATCAGATTCAACCGTTTACATAAGCATAGAGACTTATTAGATTGGTTTAATCCCTCATTACAGCATTTTCATTATGCGAAAACAGTATGCACCAAATCAGATTGGATAGTTTTGGTGTAAAAAGAAGACTGATCTTAAATTCAATTCAAATTTGAGATAAATATTTAATGCAAGACCTTAAATGAGAAAAAATACAACAACTCAATTAAAGAAATAAAGCATATGACTTTTTAAAAAAGGTAACCGAAAATTTAGTTAATGATATGAATGAATCCTAAAATTTATGACCACCATAATTATTTTACCAAAATTGATAACACAAGATTGGTTTTCAACTTAAGAATGGTACCCGGAAAATACAGCATCCCATATCAGTGTAAAAATATCTGTTTTTGTGGTTTTTAGTACAGCGTGCCTACAGAGAAATCAGCATTGGAGTCAAAGAGAGAAAAAATTTTTCTTTCTGTCTACACAAAAGGGGTTTTTTCATTTGCATATTAGATAGATTCCAAAACTGCTAGATGAAAAGATGTCCAGGCTCTGCCAATTATCACACTGGCCTCATAGAACAAACAAACAAAAGATTGGGGGATAGGATAAAACAACATGTTTCTTTCATCATAAGGAACAAAGCTGCCTTTCAAAGACCACCTTTATATAAGAACAACACTTCTTCAATCGTCAATCATTTACTCCAAAAGTATTTTCAACCAATCTGGAGCATAAAATTTAAAAAAAGGGAAAATTAACTCAGAATTAAGATTAATACCATTTCCACCAAGCATTCCAATTTGTTGATTTCAATAAAATATTGCATTTGATGGTTGGTTCAAGAAATCCAAGCAAATATTGGTAAGCAGGGTTGGCTATTGCCAGAGTGGGAGCGGTGTTAATCATAAACAAGGAATAACAGAAGACTAACAAAAAAGTAAAATTGTCTCTAATAAGTCTATACTAGGATCCAGGTGTTGGTGGAGGCTACCTTCACCCACTGACCCTTATAAGAAACATCAGGCTGAGATTTGCCCAAAATATAAGAATAACATAAGAAACAAGGCAGGCCGAGATTCAACAAGTCTTATGCAATAAGATACCAGCAAAAAATTTTAAAAATGCAAAAAATAAGAAATGTCAGGGTGAAACTGGAGCAAAATGTTCTTGTAAAAAATGCAAGCAAAACAACATCTTGTAGATAACTCAGATTGTGCCAAACTCTTTAATGAAGGCGTTTTTCAGAAAACTTCTTTTTATCCCATTTTCTCTTTTTATAACCACCATTATTCACTATTCATGTTCTATACAGAAAAAAGTTCTCTCAACCTTAACATTCCTGATGTACACATACTAATGGCTATTTTGGCATCAATTAATACAGAATATTGAATCTCTTAAGCACTGCAGTCAGCTGTAATCTCTTCAAGTTAATATCTGCTTTAAGGGTGCTGAGCTTGAAAACTGTTTTGGTTATTTCTCCGTGCCCTAGAAAACTTCATCATTAATTTGTTTCCTTTGACTCTAGAAACCATCAAAAAACGAACCTCAATTAAAGAAGATTGACTTAAGATCCTTTTTGGAGCACAGCATAAGAACCACCGAGCCTGGTGATCATTGGCTTCCATGACATCAATGTGCAAATTCCGTTTTCAAATACATAAATGGAACTGCTCCATGCTGGAAAGTTTGCTTTTGCACACCATAGCTTTTACCCAAGTAGTTTTTGGTGTCTGATTCTTATCACCAGCCTGCCTAAATTTGAGGAGCATGCCATGCCATGCCACGCTAAGGAACCATCACGGGAGGATATTTCTCTGACGGGGGTTGTGCTGTTTTATTAGGGTATTGTTTTCAAGTACCTTAAATAGTATAATATTGTATCATTCTAAATGAAAATGGTACACAGGCATCAGTGGCACAACTTTAAGGCACCATAGTAAGGACCAAGAGACTTTCCTGTAAGTTGAGAAAATTTTTGTGACCATGCCCTATAGATTAGCTTAGAACGTATCAACTGTCAACTGCTTGTTCATATCTTGAATTTGATATTCCTATGGCAGTTTGCACTTTTCTCAGAGACCAACTTTTTTAAGGCTAAGGTGGGATCAACATTTCTAGGTTAGGGGGGAGGAGCTGCCAGATTCAAAGAGCGACAAGTGAGCAATTTGCCTCTTATAAAATCTGCAACGTTTTCTATTTTTCTGTTTTAAGGGTAAAACGTTTATTGTTGTTTACTAGTCATGCTGTTTATTAAAAATACTTTTTATTTGATCATTACAGAAATCTCTTAGCGCAAAGGGCAGGTTATAGTGGCATGATTTTCCATGGTTTCTAATTGAAAAGGGTTCAGTACAAACAGAAGATTAACCAGAAATATCTACACCAGTGGTGTCCAATTTTTTCTTTTGGTGGGTCATTGACAAAATTTTATGGCACAGGCAGGCCATTTGAATAATTATGTCAATCATCAGCAATGAATGTATTAATAATTACAGTTATATAAAAAATTAAATGGAAAGTTACATAAACTGTTACATGAAAAAATTATCAATGTGAAATGTTAAATTTTGTTTTCAGAAATTTTATCACATCACAGATTAAACTTGCGGTTGATGTGCAAAAAACAAATTTAAATGTTTTTTGTATGCTTAGATTGTAGCTAGACTATGTCTGTTCAGCTTCGTAATAATAGTTTATTATGATGCAAATGAATGCCTAACAATAAGAAAGTATACCCAACAATTAGAAGGTATGCCTTATAATGAATCATAAAAGTATACCCAAGCACCATGGTCATATATACTCAATAAACTTAGAGGATAGAATTATTGACATGGCAAGAGCCAAAGAAAATGCCCTCGGGAGCCACATCTGACCCACCGGCCGTATGTTGGACACCCCTGCTATGCACATGCAGTGTATAGAAAGCTTGAGATAACATTCATGCAATGCCAAAGCAATTACGCCAACATTTTGCCAGAGAAATACGCCAAAATTTGACGTACACACTGCTGTTGTACGCCAAAGATCTTTGGCCTAACATACATGTTTTCCAGTATGGGAACTGCTCCTGATGTCATCCATAACTTTTTTACGAAATTAGAGCATGGAAAAGCAACAAGTATAGACATCCAAATTTCGTTTGAAAGCAGTTCTCTCAGTTTTTAATCTGAATGAAAAGCTAAATTGAGCAGGGGAGCTAGAAGCAGACATCAGAACCAATAAATTAAATAGTTCGGTATTCTTAAATACTACATAGCGCCAAAAATTGGAATAAAGCCCATTATAATGAATGAAAAACTTGCTTCGAACGAACGAGAAAAAATTATGTTGTGTACAATGAATGTACATATACAACAGCTATTTATAGTTCAGTTCGATTAGTTGTGTCGTTCTGTACTAGACCCAGTTTGACATTACCAATAATCCAAAGTTCATAAATCCAAAGTTAATATTAGTTTCAAATAAAGCGAATGAGAGAAGAATTTTCTTAGCACAAGCTTACCTTCTGGCTTTCTTATCATACATAGGTAGGCTACACTGCCGCCATCAAAACATATAATCTTCTTTCCTCGTTTCAAAATTTCCGCTGAAACATTAAAACTTTAAAACTTAGTTCATGAAAAATTAATTAAATAAAGTGGCTTTGTAAGTGTATAGTCGACATGCAAGTTCCGTGTCCCTCCATCTTTGCTCATCTTCGACAATCCTCGTTTTCAATCCATCCTATTCAATCAATCCCATGATCGAAACAACAGGTGACGTGATTTCCGAGAAAATAGAAGCTAAAGGAGCTACCTGAAGTTATTCCCAAGAAACGCAAGGAAAAATTTTCTAAACAAAACATACACGTTTTGACCTAACACCATAGGTGATCTTACCAGAATTAATCCCCAAATTTTCTGTCCGGATAGAATGCAAACTGGTTTCGCACCCATTCCCCATTTGTTACTGACATAATTTGGAAAGTTGAGTCCCCTTCTCTATTATTTTACTGCTTTATAAGGAATTCAATAAGGGAATGTCCTTGCAAATTTTCTGTGACATTACACGCAACTAGCTCGTAAAAGAAATACCACGAAACTCCCTTTAACATAAACAATGATCAGACCAAAGGGTGCCCTTAGGGGAGGTGGCTTAGGAGCAATAAAAAATATCTGAATTTAAAAACTGTACAAGTACAACGATTCGTTTAATAGACATTTCTTTTTCATACCGTTTCTTTTTCATGTTTAACTTAACTTATCCTGCAGTCAAAGTATCTTCCTTCATTGCTATTTCTAAGTGAACCTGAAAGATTCCTCTGTCATTCATTTATTAAAGCTGCCCTACGTAGAACTTCAAATGAAAAAGAAGATATATTTTAGCAGAAATCCATCATTTATGTATACTGCTTAGATACAGTATTATAATTACAAATAGCAATCAATGTGGGAATGAATAGGCAATGTTGAAGAATTCAAAGTAACCTAGTTCATTTAAATACGATCAGAAAAGGAACAGACTAGAAAAATGTGTATTCAAAACGACATTATTTATTTTGCTAGCATAAAATGTAGGAAAGCATCTTTAATTTTTATTTCATACCACGAACAAGAAATCGTACATCTATAATATACAGAAGGGCAATCCATGCAAGATACGTGAGAGTTAGCGTTCCAGTGAAAACCATTTCGCTCAAAAATGTAACCGGGGCTGCAGGTGTTTCTCAATGTCTTCCAATCAGCTAACAGAAACTTTTTAATTTTCACAATGGTCCTTCATAAAACAAAGATAAGCAGTAAATTTTGTGAATCCAGTTAACTTTTCAATTGCAATGTCTGTCAGTTCAGAATCGATGATAGTTTGCGATACAATCAAATAAAAATTTATCCGTCTTATGTTTACGAGATCATTTACTAAATAGATACTGTTTCTTTGGATTGCTATCTGATTCCTCTGAACAAAGCTCGAATGTCCAATAAGTAAGCAAGAGCGATCCAGCACACAGAAGCTACTGCAACACTTCCAGTTACTACCATATCTGTTTTCAGCTATGGTGTAAATTAAGAGCTTCACAGCAAAAGTGGCAGCAAGAAAAAGAGCTAGTAAATGCCGTAGATAAGAAGAACCTCCAATGCGACAAGGCCTATTACCTCAAATGCATTCACTGGCATCATAGAGATCCATTGCAAAGTTCTTTGATATCCAGACTATATAAAGCTAAACAGTTTTGTTATCAATTATTACAGCCGTGAATCTGCCAACAACAGTATGTGGATGGACTGACTATGGTATCAATATGACTCTACTTAAATCTTGGTGATGACAGTCTTTCTATTTCACCAAGTTTTTTTACTTAAGAATTCTGCAACTCAGCATAGGAGTAAAGTGGAGAAAAAACTTAGTAAATACTGTTACATCGATTTGGAACCTTGCAAGATCTGTTTTTTAACCACGCGCAATTCAAAAATAAGTAAATTTCTGCAACGGTCGCTGCAACAAAAACTCCAAGAACAAGGAGAACAAGATAGGCAGCCGGCATTTAAACAGATGTTTTGGAGACTGTCTTCAGGTTTTTCTCTTTTGATCGTGTGATGCTCTAGAAAATCAACAGAGAGTAGTCATTAGTATTGAAAAGACTCACTGAAAGCAATCAAAAGGACAAGATCTCTCGTCTACTAAAAGCATAAAGAAAAAAGATTAGGTTTTTCCGATAAATTTCAAGATTCAATCTACGTGTGTCAATGAATTATCGAGCACAAAACTGGTATGCAAGAAGCTTTTAGGAGTTTGTTAACAACATAAAGGTTCTTCATCCACTTGGTATTTTCAAAAAATCTTCATCCTTATCAAAACAACAATCTTACTATTAATATGAAATACAATTGTTAATGAATATTATGTCATTTCCAATCCAATCTTGCTTCACACACCTTGCAACTACCAGAATCTGTGCACAACTTTAATAAGAAGATCGATTGCAGATAAGCAAACCGTTAGAAGTCCTCACTATACAAACCGTTGGCTGCTTTACCAACCTACATCAAGACTCTTACTAACCTGGTCATATTCAAATCGACGAGCTAACCTCAAACCTTGTCAGCAACGCAGCGCACGATAAATAACAAGGATTTTTCAAGGATTTATTAACAAGGTACTTTGAATGGACGCCACAAAAATGCTTAATTATTCAGAATCTATTCGTTTGCATAAATTAAGACTGTAGGGTAGGCATTTATGAACTGATAACAAAATCGTGCAGGTAATCAAGGTTGAAGGGGAAGATACCAGCAACATTGATAGTCGGAATAATCGATGACTTTGCATATGCAAATTTGGTACACCCCGTTAACTAAAGTGCCATCTGAAATGTGGGAACTAACTTGTGCCTGGCTCTGGGTACGACAATGATAATTCTGAACATTTATCAATCGATATGCTTGAAAGAACTAAAGCTTAGAATCGATTTACGAAACCGTAGGGTGAGGAATGACCCCCAGATGGTGTAGTGCTATCAAAACAACAAGGGGGAATCTTGGGCAGAATGTAGAAAATAAAAGCAAAAGTAGAAATTTGCCAATTTTTGGCATCAACAAGGAGAAGTCAGCCCCCTGAGCTCCCCCCAGCACTACAACCCTGCTGAGCCCTCATGTCAATGCCTCAATGAAAATAATTTTCACTTCAAGCTACTGTGTTTTGAGATAACTTTGTTGAGCCCCCTTCTTCTCTTCACAATGCTATTACCACTGACAAGAATTTTGGGAAGCAAGCAAAGCAACGTCCTTCCTCAATGATGAAAACTTCTCTTTACTCCACGAAAGGACACTCTTTGCGTAGTACCTTTTGGCTACTCATCTAAACACGCATCAAACTTACTCTTCCTGAAGGCTAGGGGGAATAGGCACTAGATTTTGCAACAATGTTTTTTCTTACGTTATTTGTGCATTTGTGCAGGATTCTAGAACGCACAAAGGTCTGGATCAATATTTCATGGAAAATCCAAAAGAAAGATTTCCTATCTACAGAAAAGCTTGAAAAACTAAAAGCACATTTTCAATGATATTGATCGAGCCTAATTGATAATTCTAGCCAACTGAATCGCGATTGAAAAATTGTTTGCTCTGTCCTGCTTTAGCATGCTTGCAAAACAGGCATGGCTATAGACAGCATTAGGCGTCGCTGTAAAAAAGCTCATGAATATTCAGTATTTCAATTACGCGCTGAACGTCATCATTTAAATCAATTCTTATTCAATGCTGATTTTAATTAATAATGTTATCTTAGTTTTAAAACTTTAGGGAGGCTTTAAGGACAAATTCACATTTTCGAAACTTTATCGAAGTAAACGACCAGCCTTAAACCATACGGTTGTATTGAGTAAATTGGCAAAAATGACATGAATATCTGATATTGAAAGTCCATGCATCTCATGCATTTCCTTTCGAAGGACTTGTTTTAGAGGGGGAACTTGTTTCAACAGAGCCCCTTGGAGGATAGGCACTGATGGATATTGTTTCAGCCTTGCTAAACATGAGTCAATTCGATAGACGGTCGAGAAACACATCATAAATTAACATAATAGTAATGGAATATCTAAAAAGATGATTGGCGATTTCTTTTATGCGCCATAGCTTCATTTTCAGCAAACATGGCAACATCCGTGCTGTAAAGCACTTCAACTTTCTTGTATTATTCACACCGATTGTAATCGTATATAAATTCATTCCTTGAGTTGGAAAATACAGCCTGCATATTCTAAGAAAGTTTTACCAATTTCCATCAGCCAACTGTTTGGCAAGAAAAGCTCAAAACAAACGTCGACTGATAGCTAAACTGTTTAACCTGAGGACATGAATCATGTTGCTCAATAAAAAGGATCCTGTAAGCAGCTTGAAAATTGGTTTACATCTAGCATAGGAATTTTTTTATAAGTTTCGAGAAATATCGTCTTGAATTAGGCACTACAGTCAGAATTTCATAGGAATCTTTTTGATGATTTCTTTGATGAAAAGCCCGATTTCAAGGGCACTTCTATGAAAGGGCGATTCTCAATTGCTATTCCAATATCATCAGGCGATTGTGAACAGAAATAAAACATTTAGAAAATCAGGATATTACTAAAGAATACAAAGGAACTTACAGTTTGACTTGAGGATTTGGTTATTGAAATGAGCGTCTTCCCTTGGCTGTCCTGATTCGAAACATCTACCTACATAATATGCCTGTACCATAGCAAGAACACCAGTCACTACAATCACACACACGGCAACAGTTTCAAGCATCATATTTCCAGGCTAAGTATAAAGTCCAGCATTTTAGGGGCCTATTTCTAAAAAAATGATAGGAGCTGAAACGACACAAAACAAAACCAAATTCTTCTTCTTCTCTTTCTCCACAAGTTCTCTTTTGTAATTTCTAAGATTACTTCTTGAAAAATTAATGACAGTATTGTTGTCACACACAGGCTTTGCAAGGGGGTTGATACTGAGAAATTCTGGTAGCA